CGTTACATGGAGACGGTGGATAGAAATGTTTACTTTGAGGACGTCAGGCTGCAGATGGAGGCCAAACTTTGGGGCGAGGAGTACAATCGCCACCGACCTCCCAAACAGGTACGGGAGAAATGAGGTGGTATCGATAAAATCAGGGGAAGTCAACAGAAAGAGTTCGGGAAGACGTACTGGCCTCTGATTGGTGCTTCTTTTTTTTCCAAATATTTATATACTACTCGGATAAGCGGTTGAGAAAAGACTCAAATGTGATTTCCAATTAAATGAAAATTATTTTCCTTTTATTATCTTATACTGACCCTTTAGCTGCTCCCACTTTGAGTTAACTTTCTTATGATTGGCTGCCCCTCACAAACAGAAGACTTGAACAGCAGGTGGGTGGGGCTTCAGAGATGACCATATTAGGGATATCGGCTCTCAGTGACACCATACAGAGCCAAGACCAGAAAAAACTGTCTGTAACGGAGCATTTAGTGAACTCTGGAGCCTTCAGTTTTCGCCTGCAGGTATATATTTGTACATTTACCAATATTTTTAAAAGATCCGGATTTAAAAGATTTAAAAGAACTTATCTTAAGTTGCCTCCTGTCATCTCTTATCACCCTCACCCCCCAGTATCAGAATCAGATGATGCCTCGTAATTCTCGTTCCGTTTTAAATCCTCAGGTGGACATCATGCAGATGTGTGTGGTGGAGATGACAAACCGACCCAGTAAACCTCTCTTCCACCTGGAGCATTACATCGAGGGCAAGTACATCAAATACAACTCCAATTCCGGCTTTGTGAGGGACGACAACATCCGCCTCACTCCACAGGTGAGTGGTCACCTGTGGAATGGTATGAATACATGCTAAAGACGCAAGCTGAAGACACAGTCAAATATAATTTCCCTCTTTTCTCCGTCAGGCCTTCAGTCACTTCAGCTTTGAGCGGTCGGGCCACCAGCTGATCGTGGTGGACATCCAGGGAGTCGGCGATCTCTACACCGACCCTCAGATCCACACAGCGAAGGGGACCGACTTTGGAGACGGAAATCTAGGTATGCTTACCTTTCAGCAAACTGCTGCTACAAACTTAGATCAGTAAGTGTTTAAAAAGCTTCAACCTCATCACACCTGTGTTTCAGGTGTGCGAGGCATGGCCCTATTCTTCCACTCGCACCTGTGTAACAAGATCTGCAAAAGCATGGGTCTGACACCTTTCGACCTTTCCCCTGCGGAGATGTCCCAGCTGGACGGCACCAACAAGCTGCTCGTAATTATGTTTTAATCATGCTTTAAATATTAGGGACTGAAATCAGCAGCCTTTAAAGTAGAAGTAGCAGCAGTAGGAATAGTTTGGGGGGGGGGGTTATATTTATTACCTATACTTATTGGCTGGTTTATTACCTGGAAACAAACAACCATCAGTAGCAAAGTGGTGTGAGAGCGAATCACTTCCTGTGTGGACCAGTTTGGGGTTTTTGTTTTTCTTTCTTTTGGAAAGCCAAACTCACAAAAGCTTCCTCTTGCACTTATCCTGCTGAGCTGTTTGGCTTCCTCATTGCTGCTTGCAGCTGTATCTCACTTTGCTCACAGTTTCCATATTTAGGCATGAATGTCTGCTGAAAGTTTATATCCTGGTAGAAGATGCTGGTCTGTGGCTTAAAAGAGCAGAGAACAAAAAGAAAGAGAAATTCTGAGTTCTTCCTCTTTTAATTTTCATCTTTCTTCCTTTTTTTTCTCATTGTAGAAGTCAGCCCAGACTGTGCTGAGAGGCTCAGAGGAGCACTGCGGTTCTCCTCGTGTTCGCACCATGTCGGCCAGCCGGGCGCCTCCGCTCCTATCCCGCCTGTCTGAGACCTCGTCTGCAGATGAGAGCATGAGCGACATGGAATCGATCCCCTGCTCCCCTCTTATCCTCGCCTGCTCCCCCCCAATTGCAGCTGGCTCTATAGGCAAGTTAGCAATAAGTAAATGCAAGCAAGACCCATTTACTGCAATACTGCACAAAGAAAATGTTACTGCATATATAAAAATGCACATAGTAGTTAGCAAAGTCCAGTCACGAAGCTCTTGGTATTTTAAAAAGGGATGTAACGAGCGAGGTGCGAATCAATTGCCGCATCGCTCTATTTGATTCTAACTAGAACCACGTTTTATTTGATTTATTAAATGAAGCTTAAAAGTAGTGATCTAATCCTTAAACCCATCAGACTTCTATGTAACTGGAAAGTTTTTTACAACCAGAGGAATCCCCCTTGCTGGCTAGTACAAAGAATGGCAGGTTAAGGCAGTAACATGTCCATCTTTCATATACAGTCTATGTTGTGATTCATTCTCAGATCTGGTATTTTCCCATTTTCTCGCTAATTTGAATGAATAAAAGCATTCACACAGACAACTACGTGTAAATAAAGTGCACTAAGAGTACTTGGACAAAGTATTGACAGTGACACGTCACATGTGCAAAACAAGAGGAACCAATTTCCATTTTTAGCCAGAAGGAGGATTTCAGCGTTGACAGTACTCATGTCGAGTTAGTAGACAGATTAGTGTAGACATTTATGTCATTGTATGTTACTGGAAATTTGCTAGCAGAGGTATCTAGAGATATCTTGAGATACACAAGTATTCAGACATAGCTTACATGCTGAGGAGCTAAAGTGGTGAGTGGTTTTGCATTTTATTTCCATTTTACAGGCTCGTCTTTTTCCGGAATGTATGAACACGACAGAATGAGCAACACAAGCGAACACAGGGTAAGTAAAAACTGATGGTGAGAGTGGCTCTAAACAGCACAAGCAATTAAAGAAAACACGTTTAAAAAAACAGAGCGCTGCATCATCACACCCCCAACCCCAAGCTTCACATTGATTAACAGCATTACTTACATTATTTAAAACTTTATTTAAAACTATATCTGTGTAGCTGACTTGTTGACAAAGATTTACCACCAGGAATCAGAATTTCTTGTCTTAATTTTTGTCTTTAGGAATCAGAAAACGGCGGGGACAGCGGCTACCCGAGCGAGAGGAGGAGTGAAGGAGATCCAAATGACCACGTAGACGGGGTAAAGATTTTTGTCACTGATCAACAGAAATGGACAGAAGAAGCTTTTAGTTAATCATTAAATGTATTTTTCCTGTGATCCAAATCCCGTTTTTTGGATCCAGTTTGTGAACGTCCTCTTGCATATTACCTGAAATAAGCTTCATCATGCCCCGTCGATGCACTTATTCAACACTTGTTAGATTTCGTGACAGCTGGTTTTACAGTCCGTGTCATATTGTCACATAGATCCATCATCGCTACAACAGACAATATTCAGAGTCGGACGAGGAAAGTGTCAGACGGGTAAAGAAACATAAATATCCCTAAATCCCTTCCTCACCTCGTTCTTAATCATCATCATCACCACTTTAATCAAATAACCCTACTTTAATTTCCCTTTTAACATCATCTTTACTTTTGTTTTCCCATCACTTGTTTAACCATGAAAGCCCCTCCTTACCTCTCCTCTAATTCCACTCCTACTCTTTGTTTCCCCTCACTAGAGGAAGATGGTAGCTCCTCCAAGAGTCTCTGCGAGCTTAAACTCAAACACTCCTGACAACGAATGGGTGATTATTTGCATGGAAGCTCCTGAGCCAGGTGTTTCCCTGTGCAGCGCTTTGCAGTCTTTTTTTTGGCCGTAAAGCATAATCTTTGCCTCCAGCATGACGGCTCTGCTTTTCAAACGGTTCCGATTTGTGTGGATTGAACTCGCTGTCGCTATTTTCCTGTTGACGCCTGCTTTATTTATTTAGTGAACGAAAACGATCGGAAAATACAAATGGAGATAAAAAGTGATACTTGGAACTGAAACACCATCTACCTCCTTTACCTTCGCCTGCTCTGCCATCCCGCTCATTCTCACTTCTATAACTGTGTGTGTGTCTGTATGTGCGCTCCTTTTGCATTAACAGGGATGTACTCCTCCATCTCTGAGCTCAAAGCAGACTTTCCTGGATGGGTACACCTCTGAGACTGCAGTGTGACTTTTCAACCATAATATATTTCATGCAGTGAATATCAGATGGTAACTTTTTCTTTTCTTCTTTCTTGGATCTTTGGTGCCTGCTTCTGTTCAGTTGACCGAGGAGAAGTGGACCTTCTATCACTCATCCCGCGCTCACGTCCACCGACCTTCCTGTGTGGCCACCGAGGTGGAACGACTCAACAATCTGCTGCAGAAGAAGATCGGCCAGTCGATTCTTGGAAAAGTAAGAGGAGGAAACATTAGTTCATTTAATGTTTCCGTGCCACTATTTAACTCTGGTCCCATCAACACTAAAAACACTTACATTGTTACAATTTTTGAAATCTTTCTTCGATTCTAAGCATTCAGTTCAGTCCAAACTCCTCCTATCGCAAATCAAACACAATGAGGCAGCTTGGCATGCTTCAAGCGCTTATATTCTTTATCTCCCACCCAGGTCCACCTGGCTATGGTGCGGTACCACGAAGCGGGTCGTTTCTGCGAGAAGGACGAACAATGGGACCAGGAGTCAGCCATGTACCACCTGGAGAGAGCTGCCATGTGTGGAGAACTGGAGGCCATTGTAGCTTTGGGACAGTGCTGTCTGCAGCTACCTCATCATATACTACCAGACATGGAGCTGGAGGTACTGTGCGCCATCTATTTTCCTTTCTTTTGTTGAGCTTATTTCACAGGGTGGCTTTATATTCTGATGTGTGTGTGTTGTTGGCAGGATAATGCAGGAAACAGGATGAGAGGTTTCAAGTATCTGCTGCAGGCTGCTGAGGCTGGCGACAGATCTTCTATGATCATAGTGGCCAGAGCCTTTGATACTGGAGTCGGTCTGTCTGCTGACAGGTGAGTGAAGGTTCATTCAAAGCAGATGTTTCAGGTGAAACGTAGGAATCCTGCCTTTGCTTGATAGTACTTCCCTCTTGTGGCCGGTTGGATTTTTACAGTTTCTTTTTTTAAGTGGTGGTGATTTGTGAGTTACAGCATTTTATCCTTTTGCCTTCACAGAAAGCAGGACTGGGCCGAGGCCGTTCACTGGTACAACAGTGCGCTGAACATGATGGACTACGACGAAGGAGGAGAGTTCGATGGGACCCAGGACGAGCCTCGCCACCTTCTGCTGGCCAGAGAGGCAGAGATGTACCAGGAGGGAGGCCACAACCTCGCCGCAGACCCACAGAGAGCAGGTTCAACCCAATGCCGAGTGCAGAATTTTAACTTCAAGAAATCGTACACCAGTTTCTGTCTGACCGTTTTCCCAGTGAAGCAGTAGGGCTTGTGATTTTGATCTGTGGCACGGAGAAGCTTTAGTCTCACATGATGGTCGTGGGGTTGGGGTTCATTTCTGTTTGGTGGAGCGACTGCCTGTAACATCTCATTCTGTCTCTCTCCTGCAGGTGACCTTTTTACTGAAGCTGCAGAAGCCGCCATGGCGGCCATGAAGGGTCGACTGGCTAACCAGTACTACATGAAAGCTGAAGAAGCCTGGGCACAAATGGAGGAGTAATCCCACGACATAAAAAAGATTTCTTTTAACCTCCAAAAAGGCCACGAGACTTGATGTGTGGCTGTTTTTCTTTCTTTTTTTGTTTTTTTACACATTCTGGGTAAAACCTGAATGACTTCAGTTTACATTACTGTTTTTATGACAGATTTTTTTGGTGTTGGTGGTTTGTTTGTGTGCGCGTTTGGTGTGTGTTGAGCCATTCAGCATCAGACTTTTATCTCCAGAATTCTTTCTGTATGGTTGTAAACCTAGATTTTACTCCTCATTTCTTTCATTTCATGTCTATATTAACCTTTAGAGTTAAGTTAATGTGATTCTATGAATGAAAAGGTCTGACCTATCAAAAAAAGAAGATTGTTTACTTATTTTGACCCAGATGTTAACATGTTTATGTTTAAGAGAATATGTGTGATAAAGAAAAGTGCTTGGAATATGAAACTGTAAAATAAAATTTTGCCTTTCTTTATACCAATCATGATCCTGTTGTGATTTTTCTAACTAGTGGAAGGACTCTTGTAACCTAAAATGAGGGTGTATTGTGAGTGTCATAACAGAAACAATTTACCTTAGTTTTTTTGCACCATTAACTAAAATAAGTTAATTTGCAGTCAGGTTGGTTATGGGACAAAAGAAAACAGGTAAATGCTTCAGCTCACTAGTCTTGTTTTTCTTTGCAGTTTTCTCTGATCCCGGAGCTCAGAGATATGTCACCACTTTGCCAAGTTCTGGAAGAAGACCCATACTATTATCCTCAGATAAGAGGAAGTTTCAAGCCTGTGATGAACTGTAAACTGCTGTAGTGCAAGTTTTACA